AACGAAAAACTTTTAATTTACAAAATATATTATGTTTGATAGAAACTCTTCAGTATTATACTATTAGGATTCCTTATTTTAAACATGATTTTGATTTTTGCTAGTGAATACAATATCAAGAAACTGATTCTTTTTCTTTTTTGCTTCTAAATAATTTTCGTTTTGGAGCAAAATATTGCTGTCACTCAAAATATGGTAGTCAAATTATGACTAATAATTTTATTAAACTAATAGGAATGAAAAGAGTAGATTTTCACCGATTTTCACCGATATAAGTACTTTTTTTAACATAATTTTCTTAATATAATTTTCATAATTAACATAACTTTCTTGAAATAACTTGTTAAATATGAAGTGATCTCTTATTGTACTTTCTTAACATTAAACTTATAGCGAATACACATCCCAATATCTTAGCATCCCAACAAAATGAATTTATCTGAAATGACAGTCTTGTTTTTGTTTAGAAAGAGATGAAAATTTCTAACACTTTTTTGGTGACTACCCTTATAGCTGTGCTCGTACTAGAGGTCTTTCACCATTATAGGTACTCCTTTAGTATATTGTCGGTATCTTAACGCTTTACACATTTTCAAAATTCACTACTTGAATATTCAGAAAATTAACCAACTTTATAATTTAGAAATTTCAATACTTATAATTTTAAAATTCAGTATCTATGTTCTATATCCTAAGTGTATCGACACCATCACGAACTTCCCGTCCTGTCTTTTTTTTCTGCGTATGGATCAGCCGTTCATCCATGCAACGGATTAAGATTAATGATAAATTTATATATAATATATATAATATATATATAATTTCCACATTAAAGAAATCATTTGGCGACATTCAGATCTATGTTCCCAATTCGACTCTTATTTTCAACTCTTATTTTCAACTTCGATAGCAAATTTAATGTCGAGTTCCTATCAGTTGATGTTAAAGTTTGATATTACGATATAATGATATTAATCGTATATTACGTGTAGTTAAATTCTCTCTGTGAATTAGTAGTTCTCTTGAGTCCGTCAAGTTCTCCTTCGATATAAGTTGCTAGGCAAAGATATTTCGGTGAATCATAAGTTTTACAATATATTACGTTCTATGGTTCTAAACTTCTTCCATAACTGTTGATATATTAAGATCACAATGAATTTTCCCACTAAGTGCAGTAAACCACTCTAAACCACAGTAAACCACCACATTAACGGAAATTATATTTATTCTGTTTGCTACAAGGGCATGGTACTAAGTCATTGGAGCACGTTTTCAACATTTGACTTAAATATATAAATAAAACGAAGAGTAAAACAGTTTTTATGAGAGATTTGAACCAAATATATTTCTATTATAAAATTTTTTACATTGACTATAATATACGGCTCTAAAATTTATTAAGTACTCTCTTCTTCTAAATTCTTCTAGGACTAGAACCATGTCTATTAAAAAGATTTAAATTTAGAATGAAAAAATAAAAAAAAATTCATTTCGATAGCTCCAAAGTCGTAATTTCTTCTTTTTTTGTCTTCAAATTTAAATTATATGCATAACTATATTTTGAACTATCCCTTCCTTCAATGTTTTATCCCATTATGCTGCTATAAGCCCCTTTAATTATTTTCTACTCATTTATTTGATGGTTCTACACATCTTCTGATTCGATACGATTCTTTACAGCCTTTTTTGTCTGCTTACGAGGTTTTACCTTTCTTTTACACGAGCGGCTTTTGATAACATTTTTGCATTGTGAGGAGTGGGGTATGGGCGTATCTTCCAATTCTGTATCACTTTCCTCACCTTGCTGCATTTGTGCTGTTCTTAACTGTTTGTTCAGTTTCCTTAGTTGTAAATATCGTTGAGCTCTTTTCCTAATACGCAATGAAGGAGTAGCTGGTCTCCTAAAATAACCAGCGTCGTCAAAATGACGCTTCGACTGCACCCTCCTTCTCATATTTTGACGGTCTTGTCCATTAGTAGTAGTAGAAACATCACGGATTGCTATATTAACTGTATTGTGTCGTTCCGTATTCCTAACATTATGTTTACCAAGACTTTTTAACCATTTTTGTTTCTCCAAAGCCAATTGAATGAATGGACTCCGTTGTGCATATGACATCGAGTTCCAATTCTTAACAGCAAAGTGTCGTAATAGCGCTTCCCGATCTGAGTCTGCAATAATTCCTTCAGATTGGTTGTCAGTTAAACCAGTGACAACAGCTCGCGCATCGCTCAGCTCCAATTTATTATTCGTATAGAGCAAAAAAACTTTTTTATATTCATTTATATAATTCACAAATCCATTTATACTTATATCATCCGTTTTACCTCTACGTACAATTTTACGCCATACAGCACTGGAATTATATCGACTCTTAGTTCTATAATAATTTGACTTAAATTTAATTTTAAGGATATTTTTCAATCGTTCGAAAGCAGAAGACAGTGCATCTATGACTGCTCTTGTCATGATGCAAAAAAATTAATTTTAGATTTGTATTGAGAGAAGCATACCAAATATAAAATAAACTTATATGAAAATAAAAATTTTATTTACATTCTTCAATTTAGATTGATTTTATAAAGACATTGATAGGTTGATCATTTTTTTATAAATTTGTAACAAGTCTAACAAGTTAAAATTCTAACAAATGGTCTTCCAATTTTTATAATAAATTAATATCAAAATTTATTTGATGCACTAATTTTATTTAGACATTATTTGCGATAGTGGTTGTAGAGCCATCACTTAAATGATAATCTGTAATTTTGTCAAAGTTGCCCTTCCTTCTTTATTAAACACTTTTATTGTTCTTATATTGTGTTGTGAGTTTTAAAAAACTGGGATTTTTAGCTCTGGAACAGCGCTAAAGGGATTTTTGTGGCCTTCTACGTCAGACAAGTCTTACCTCGGGAATATTCTGAACCTGTATACGTACAAGTTCTGAATTATTTAACGTGATTTCCTGCCGTGTAAGCTGAACATCACAGTGTTCTTCACATACGCATCGGTATATTGCGCCGATGAACGCCCCATTAGAACTCCAGGGAATTTCGCCGTGCGAATGAAGAAATGTGTGTAAGACATAACTTCCACAGTAGTTCGATGCGAGGCCCATCTAAACCTCTGCTGATCTTTGGGTGCCAGCACCCGGTAGTGAATACCCAACTCCACGCCGAATAATTGATACACAAATACCTGAACATTCTCCTCGCATAAGTTTGGCTATTAACCACAGCCACTTCGAATTCAACCTCAACTAGTCAGCACAGCCGAAGCTGCGGGCCACTGACCCCCATAGTACCAGATATTACTATCTCTGGTCAAATATCGCAAATTAGGACAACTCCTACTACCATGCACTCTTCTTATACAATTGTCGGCATGGCACAGAGATTATAGTAGCCTCTTACGTCAGGCATGCCTACCGCTGGAATATTTTATCCCCTTCACCGCAGGGGGGGTTGTTAAAGAAATTTTATGATATTTGTGCGATTGGAGGTATTAAATGGAAAGCTATTTTTTGATTGGAATTAGGCGCCGCTTTATACATTTCGGTCTAGCACTTCATCTCAACACAACCATCTTTAATGCCTTTACGTTCATTATATAAGAGTAGTTTATTAAAAATAATCAATTTAGTTCTTGGATTTAGCAACTAGTGTACCTTTTGTTTTCAGATTATGTTGGTATTTTCTTTTAGCCGCAGTATCGGCGTTAGGCGAATACACGGCACTAGTCTTAAAAAAAAAGTATTATCTTTAACTTTAATCAATTTTATAACTCTGCTTTGTATAATTAAATAAAGAAATAAACTATATATTTTTTTCGTCGTTTAAGAAATATATAAGAAAACCATAAAAATAAATATGATTTGAAAGGTTAAAGCGGAAAAGTGAATTTATTATTTTTCATTTTATTAACTGATTTATTGAAATTCTGTATTCAACTCTATTGTAATGAACTAAATTTTTTACTCAGTTTTACTGTAATGGAACTACGTGATACTATGCAAACTAATCAAATAAAATATCGTGATGAAGTAGCAATTGTGTAACTGAAGCATATATATATCTTCAATATATTCTATTCTTATAAATATTGACTGCATGAATCAATATGGTATATATTTAAAATAAATTTGTAATAAATTTTCCCATGGTACCAACTGAATTTCAGCTTTTGGTGTGATGTCATGCCTTTGAGTCACAAAAGTAGGGCGTGACAATAAAAAAATCAATCTATAAATACTAAAATAAATTATGTTTTATTTTTATTTTTACTTTTTTCAATGTTTTTTTTCTTATTTAAATAAAATAAATTGTTCACACGACTTCTGTGCTTAAACACTTCCAACAATTCCGTATAGAATTTTTTACCCTTGAGTAATTTTAAAAGTAATTACCAACAATTGTTGCTAAAATTGGAATTCCAATTTTATTAGCATATATACAGAAAGGTACTACATACATTATATTGTTTATATGTTGTGTATTTTTTTTTTAATACAATGCCACTTCTTGGTTAGAATTTCAGTGACAGTTTTTAAGCCTCAATCCGTCAAAATGTCAATATATTGCAAATGTACGAGTAAATATTTGAACTCAAGTATTTTTAAAAAAATTTTTCCTTATTTATGTTATCTTTTTTTCCCTTACGGTAATTACTTTTCGAATTTTTTTCCAAATTTTCATTTTGCGGTTACTTATTTTTGTGTTTATTTTAGTTTATTTATTTATTTTTTTCTAATTCTTTTTCTCTAATTTTCATCTGTTGTTCTATACATTCTTACGTGTTATTTTTCTACTTGTATTTTTCTACATTTACAGATAATAAACGTGACATAGACAAAATACCTTAGTACCCACCCACACATATCCCTCGCAAATTCTAAGACATTCAAAACAAAACAAAAGCATTAAAAAAAAGAGAAATCATTAAGAATTTTTATTATAAGAAAATAAATAAATAACGTGTCTGTCGCTCAAAGGCAAAAAAACCGCGGATTAACCGCGGTATATTATGTCACGAGACGACTACAATCCTGTAACTAGCTCTGGTGTACGCAGCCCGGGTCGTTCCAGGCGACTCACGGAATTGCCAACAGTTGATCGTTCACCATCACGGGATTACGGTACACGTGGAAGTCCTTTAGGTGAAGATTTTTGTCAATACTTTTTTTTGAAAACACTTTTCCTTTTCGTTTGGAATTTTTGATTTTTGTGAAAAATAATTTTCTTTAGTTTAATTAATTATTGAAAAATCTTAATTAGTATTAATTTAATTCAATTCTATTATAATTTATCAAAAATTTTTAGAAGAGGGTGCAAAAGTACAGTAAAGACACGCGTAGCAATTGTCAAAGCAAAATAATTCAACTAAAATTGCACTTCAATGAAATTTAAAATCAAAAATAAAAATTAAGAAATAATTTTTTATACAAAATAAAAAAAATTAATTAAATCTTTGAAAATCCAAAAGATTTCGAAGATATTTTGTAGCTTTGCACTTTTTTTGGTTCTGATTTTTTTGGTGGGAATGGTGTATGTTTGATTGGGATAGGCTTTTATCTGGAAGTGGGTCTAAGATGGTTTTTGACTTTCTTACAAACAATTAGTTTTATCTGCTCTCGTGCTGGGGCACTCAGTTAAATAAAATATTTACTGATCAACTGAACTATATTGGCAAAATAATTAGAAAAAATTTATTATGAGATTTCTTGTTGCATTACTAATTAAATTTTATTATTAATTTATTATAAAAATGTTTTTTTATAATTTCTTATATTAATTAACTATATTTGTTTCAATTGGTTATATATATATATAAAAGCTCATTATTTTAATAATTATTTATATGCAATTTATACGATAATTAAATAATTATTACATATACAAAAAAAATAATATTAAAAAAATTTTAACTTTGCAAATTTTATAGATGAATTTGTGTATATTATATATTAAAATCAAAGTAAATATAAATACTATATTATTGTTCCATATATATAACACAATAATAAAAAACTATTTAAATAAATATGCTTTTAAACTTTACTATTGTCTTTGAATATAAAGTTTATTTCATCAGCAAATAAGACAGAACTCAATTACCCACCTGAAGGTATGAAAGCATAATTCGGTATTCGGTAGACTATAGACTTGCATATCATCAACCAAATAAAAGAAACTAGGTATATATGAAACTGTTAGGTTAAGAATATTTTCCTCAGCGAACAATATGTTAAGTTAACCATAATTTAATACTATTATAATAATAATCTTAGCAATCATTTATGATATTTTCTTTCACAGAAAGAATCTCATCATTAAACATGTTAGGCTAGATTTGGAGACAAGAAGTGATGCTTAATTTTCAAAAAAATGTAAACGTCCAAATACTCAGTTTTGAAAGAAACGACGTATGAAACTGACAGTCTTAAAATTGCTCTTTAGGCTACAAGATCTTATCGTTAATCATAGTTTAATCCATTCAGGAATATATATTTTGCAATCGGTGGTATTTTGTGCAAAAATAATGAAGTTTCTTTGCGTTTAGAAGGAAAATACTCAAAACGATGAGATACTTTGTGAATATTATATTAGGAATATAATGGTTTTTATATATTTTTTATCCGGCTATAGGTCACTTTTTATTAAAATTAAAATTCAACGTTTGTTTAACATTTTATAATATATTCTATATTTTGACTCTTCTTGAGAGTCATCATAACTTAAATTAACATTAATAAATCTATATATAAGCGTCATCCTCTTCATACTATTGTCTATATACAAAATTTAATATTATGAACATCTGAATATGTAGTTCCCTGCGAGAATAGGATAATGTAACAATATGCTCAGATTAAACATAGGTTTATTTTCATATACCAGCATTCTTATTGCAATTGTGAGCTATATGTTCTGATCTAATTATATATTTATAATAATAATAATATTCTGGTTAATAATATTCTGGTCTGTACAATGTTTTCGTAAAATGCTTAAAACGTTAATGTATCCATATTCAATTATTATTAAAATTTATTTATTTTTCTAAGTAATAATATATAATATTACTTTAAAGGGGGAGAAGGACCTATTCGTTCAATTCTTAGTTAACTTTAAAATTCAATTTAATGTTAACTTACAAATAAATAATAAATAATTAGTGTTACTTTAAAGTTACATCAAAAGTAAAATAATAACTTTATTTGTTGCTATTTCAATCATTCTAAATAATTAATTGAATATATTCTGTGAATGAAAATAATAGCATTTGACATGAACGAATGGGTTCCATTTGCGCGTTGCATTTAAAATTTAATTAAAGGTAAATAAGGTTACTCATACGACCTGTTGGCGTAAAAAGTCAAAAGTGCAAGGCATTAAAAAGCTGGCATGTAAGCTGATAAGAATCAAAATACAAAACAAAAAAAAATTTAAACAGACGATAAACAACATCATATCAATATTAAAAATGAATGCAGGCGAAAAGGTTTTGTAAAGAGCAAAATTAATGCAAAAAAGGATACAAGAAATATTATAGAATTATACAAAGGTTAATTAGTAATTCAATGTGAACTAATCAAGTGCAGGTGGAATTAAATACAAAAGTTGACAAATGACAATAAGTACTCATTCTATAAATAAAAACTAATTTTTTAACATAATAACTTATTTGCTAGTATTTTAAGATAACAGATTTTGAATACTTAATAATATTACTTATTAATGAATATAAATAATATCACAAAAGCAAAGAATTTCATGCAATTATCGTCATCCAAAGTCCCACGTTTTTCATATAGTTTGTCTATGATTATGCACTTAACACTTAAACTGAATTTATTACACAATTTTTTAGTAAAAGAATTTAAATATTTTTAAATAGTTAAATCTGAAAAGCAACTTAGGTAAACTTAGGTTATACCGGCGATCCAAAGGGCATTAATTTAAGCCTATTGCCCCATTGTGTTACCGTATAATGGTGAGACCACGTGGAAATTTTGGCGAAGCTTAGAAATTTGTTTAGTGGGTGTTCTTAAAATTGATCATGATTCTCTAAGAAGGAGGTCCCTAAAGTATTAAGTCGCAGTAAACTTAGTATTGACTATATTTAGTAAAAGCTACCCAGTATTTAATTTTTTACATCCCAGTTTTATTACTGACAGTTTTAAAAATGGAAATCATTGATTTGTGGTTCATTATTGAATATATTTAGAATCAGTTACAAAAATGCATTATAAGCTAGTAAGTTTAAAATAAGGTTGTAGTAAAATGTGTAAAGCTTTATTGAGGAAATGTCAATTGGAACCTAACAACATTAAAGTCTGTAAACTCTCCTCAGCTAGCCACTACATTCTACACTCTTAAACTAGCTTTAATTTCGTGATGAAGAATTGAAGGCCTTTAACTACCGCTTGGGTGTCAATAAAATTGGCAATACTAGATCTATACTTAATGTGATTTGCAATTAGCCGACATACCTCAATAATCGCTAAAGCTTTTGTCTAAAAAATTTAATGTTTTATACTAATTAGAATTAGAACTCAGATCTTTGCAGTCCGAGAAGTCTTAAAACGTTTTAATTTATCCTTATGAATAATAATACTTATTTAAAAATTATAAAAAATTTATAGTTTTATAGTAAAACTATTTCAGCCTACCAAAAACTCAATTACTTAAAAAAAATAATAAAAAAATTTTTGTTGTTGCAATTTTACTACCATTCGATAAAAATCTCTATATTGGTTTAATGGTTTTTATTTAAAATTTAGTTTTCCTGGTCAAAACAGGCATTTAAAATAAATTTAATAAAAGATTTGTTTAAAAATCTTTTATATATTAATATAAATATAGTTTTAAAAAAAATTATTAAAGTAAAAAAAAAATAATAATTTTGCAAAGTTAAAATTTTTTCTTTTGTTTTGAATATATGAAATATATATATTTTTTGCGATTTTTATTTATTAAATAAATTTATGTGCAACAGGGAATAAAATTGGAATTGATCTCCTTACAAAATGTTATTAAAATAAAAATTCTCAAAATTTAAGTAAATTATTTTTTTTTTAATAGAAATTTCTTGTGCACGATAGCAGTTTTCAAAATATTAGAATATTTATTTTACATTTTATACTTAAAATGAATTTATTTTTAAAATATAATTATTCTTAATGCATAAAATTTACGATATTTATATGCAAATTGCAATTTTTTGATTACTGAAAAAATGTGTACATTTTATGCATTAAATAAATTTTGCTTAGAGTGAATAATTATTAAGTGAATAATAATTTTGACTTTTAAATTTTATAAAAATTTATGCAAATATTTGTCCTAATATAATTTTATCTTACATCACGCATGCGCATGATACATATCTTTCGTTGCTTTATTAAAATGTTTTAAAATTTTCGTTTATATATCATTTAAAAAACAATTAATTTAACCATAAAAATAAATCTTTTACATGCACAAAACACTCACAAACCCCACTCAAAATGACTTGCGGGCACTCATCAACAAATTCACCCATTCACACATTCACCCACTCAATCATCCATCCATCCACCCACTCATTCACCCATTCCGCAAACCCACTCACATTCACATTCACATTTACACTCACACTTTCACTCGTTCATTTGAATCGCACAAAATCGCTCGCAACTCACAATCAAATGAAACATCAGATTGAGTTTAGACGAGCACGTAAACTAATTAAAGCGCTTAGTGGAGCGTATTTTTATATTTTTAACATTTGTGGAGTGACTTATTAAAGCAGCAAACTGGATTACAATTATGGTAAAATAAATGGAATTAGAAGTAGAAACATCATCAAATATCATAAAACATCATGAAGCGTAAGGATAAATGCTACAGTTGCCAGAACAGTCGATTTAACAGTGTAGTTAAACAATCGTGAACATTGCTAGATGTCACTTAAGAGTGATTTAACCAGTTTCTAAGCAGATATTCTAGTAGTCAGTTGAGTGAAAATAATATTTGACAATATTTGAGATACAATTCTAAATATCAAAAGATAAAGATTTTTATTAAGAAAGTAAAATCCCACTGCAAGCTTAAGTGATTTAAAGAATTTTATATAAAAATTTAAATTTTTAATTGAAATTGAGAATTAATGGATGTGATTCGAAAGTAATTATATCATTTATTACATTTAACGAAAGGATTTTAGTCATAGTGTATAATTAAATAAATACGGTATCCTTCAAAAGCTACAACTGCTTGTATTGTACAAACGCACCACAATAATTTTAAAAAATTAAAAATAAAATGAAAGTACTGCATCTTCTTTGAGACCACAGTTACACTGCAACAAAGTTCTCAGTAGGTCCTTGTGTAAGTCAGATCTCCCAGAAAAAAACGATGCTTTTTCTGTGCAGCAGGAAGTGTTCTAGTTCAATTGAGATCAGAATATAGCCATGTGCTAAACTGTTCATTGTAACGCATAAATACGCATCAATTTGCGATGTTCTTCCTGTTCTTCTCCTCATGTTATCATCTATGTATTTTCCTGCTACAATTTACTCACAAATTTGAGTCTAATCGATCTCTGGACCCAATCTCTAGAAGTGGATAGATTTTTCCACCATCCTCCAGGTCGACCTTAATTTTAGTTTCACCCAATCCATACTTACTCCGAAAAAATCCACTGTCCGAAAAAACCTACCACTAGCATTACCTATCCACATTCAAACCCAGCTATAAGTCTTTGTAATTCCTTTCATGTTATCTGTTTTATAGATCCTTGTGGGGTACAACCAATGATTAGTAGATCTAAGTGGATTCTTTTTATCAGATTTATAACTAATCTAAAAAAGTACTTAAAAGAGAAATTTTTTTATATCTATAAAATCTATAAAATATAACGGGACCATACCTAATACTTGTTCCCCAATCATCTTATTAGTAACCACACATTCTGACTTATTTCACACTGAGTAAGATTTGTAAGCAACTATTACTGTCCAGAATATTAAAGTGGGTATTTCATTTATGGGTCTACGTATATAAATATATATAAAGGTTATGTATATAAATGTATATAAAGGTTAACCTTTACCGAATGGCGGACTCGTTCCCTTTAGGCGTTGGTCATATGCTTTTTAGTTTATGTATGAACTAACGACATTCCTGTGGTACTAGGGCGGGCCATTATTTGAGCTCAAGTGGGCTTTCTTGGACACAAGGCAGTCACTCCAACCTAACCTAACATATGTCAAATGCTATATGCTAGTAAGTTGGGAACCATTTCTATTATCAACATACACAATATGTGCAAATAATAGATCTGTTCACATGACTGAAAAATGGATGGCAAATATATTTTTCATTAAAAGAAAATTTTATACTTTGAATATTTTTATCAACTGATCTTACCTTTGTTTGGTGAAGACAACTTATTGTCCTTTCATTGTATTAATCCATGGATTTTATATTTACACAATATTAAGGAGAGTATTAAGGACAGTATAGAAAGTTATAATTACATATATAATTAAAGAAATTTTATATATTATATATATGCATTATTTCATTTGACTAAAAAAAATGTTATAAATATTACTTTACATAATTCTTTAATAAGAGTTTCATACAAAAGTGTCCTAATTAATTTTTTTGAATAAGTTCTACCAATATGTAGTAGATTCTTCAATCTATACTAAAGTATATGGCATTATAGGTCGGTCTCTTACATAAATGTTTTATATGAGTATATGTAATAATATATGTAAATATATAGGTTTCATATTGTCATTAGCATATATAGAAATGAGTATTTAAGAAATATATGAATTGGATGAAATAAATGGTACATATATTTCAATAGACCATGAACATACTCTTTGGTTTGTTTTTTTAATAAAGTATCTTTATTAAAAAGTATAATTAAAATCAAGAAATTATAGATAAATATATCCAATTAACATCAAATAATATTAAAAATAGCTACACTCATGCAGCTCTACATTAGACTAAAACAAAACTATTAAGTGTGACTATAGCATATATCCTTACATTATTGATTATTTTTCTTAAATATTTTTAAATAAAATAGATAAATAGAAAAAAAAATAAAAATAGAAAAATAGAAAAATAAAATAGATTTTATGAAGATATATTATTAATAAGGACGAAATGGTGCAAATTTGATTAAATATATTATTATTACGTTAAATTCATATTGTATTCAAAATTGTTGACAATTGACAGTGATTTCCGGAAATTCTAAACTTAACTATTAAAACTTCTTATTCAAATTATCTGCAACGACTAATAATAAAGTATTTTTTATGCATTTTATGCTTAAATGCAGTTCGGAGTGATACTAAAAAAGTATCTGAATGGTACATTTTTTACTATTTAATTAAAATTTATTTTCTTATTTTTATGTTTGCAAGAAATTAAGAAACTACAAAGTCTCTGCAGTTAATTTCTTTAACTTATTTACTATCTCGTTTTTACGAGAGATCAGATACTCAAAAAACTCAATTAATTTAAATAAAAATAGCTTGCTAACTTCCCACTATCTCACATACTTACTTATATTCAATTCTCATCTATATTAATCCAAGATTATATTTTAAAATCAAAAAAGTTTTACAAATGACACTAAGTGCCACTTTTTTATACTTTGATGCTGTGTTGACAGAAGAAAGGTGTGAAAGTTTAAAGAGTCAGTACTGAAATTCATTGCTAAGATACGGATTATGATTCCATAAATTTTAGAAAATTGCTTTAATTTACAAATACCATAGAACTCCTTTTATAGACAACTACATATTAAGTAAATTATTTTCTGATATCTAAATGACTTTCTGTGAATAATGTCTATTTATCATTCAATGGTTTTCCATTAGTCTTAGTGAGGTCGCTAACGCAACTAACACCTGGCTTTTTGATGCCAGATTTTTTGATATATAAAATATTACTCGTCTTAAGAACTATTTGGTACCTATTTCCAAGTAGTACATAGAGCTTAATAGTTCTCCTTCTTCATCTTTAGTTCCCTACAGTTGCCACTAACTGTAAGCTATAACATTTTCAAGTTCTGTCATTACACATAAATAGAAGCTTTCACAACATCCATCTAATCTCCCAATCTAATCTATCTAATAACAACTAACTAACTTGTATTGTACATATAAACCGGTGCAGAGAGTGTCAAAATAAATTAGACGATCAATTTCTTAGAAAGTCCATCTCAAAAACTATATTTTAGGAATACTTCATTTTAATACCTAAACTGACTAAAAAAATCTGAATTTTGATTGTCTGATTTTCATTTTGACACACTGTGCCGTGTGGTAGCTTACTTCAAGGAAGATGATGTTCAAATAGGCTTTATGCATTATGTCCATAGTGACAAATTACATTATAAAATAATTTAAATTTCTCTGGTCAGACTTTAATTATACAAATTTTGTCTTCTGAGTATACACCAATCCAGTTGTGTGTATGTATAGGCGTATATACGTATATTATACACAATTTCACAGCATGCAAAGTAATGCAATTTACAATTTGACATCAAAGCCTTTGAAAGGTACTTCTTGTTTATTACACACAATGTTCGTATCTTAAATCTTAAATAACGTTAGATACAGATTAAGGTAGGTCATGGCTCTTCATAGACTGTTATTCAATATTTTTAGGAAATTAATTAAACTTTTCGCCTTTCCAAAATTTTTATTTTATTTAATATTTATAGTATCTGTAATAATACTCCGAGTAATTTGATATTATCTAATTTTGACAAAAAGCATAAAAATAAATTTAAATTTCCGCCACATTCACAAAAAAAAACCTCTTTATTAATATTTAACAAGGATCTCTGTAAAGTCCATGCTCATTCCTCCTTCTCCATCGCCAAACTTGCACAACTAAAAATAAAAGCAAACAAAATAATAGTCAAGTAAATGGGCAAAAATCATGACTATTAGAAAACTAATGGCACCCATTTGTAAAAAATAAATAGGAAAATGTATATTAAATTAAAAATGTAGATTTTAGGAAGGATTAAAGTAAAGCCAAATACTCGTGCGATTCGAGTGTTAATAAAACTTGTAATCCTTTTTCGCCATTTCATAAAAGAGTCATTTTTCTAGGGTGACGGTTGACGGACTTGACTTCATGTAAATTGGCTGACGTGTTCAATGAATTTTATGGGCTTTTTATGTGCACATTAAACACTAAAAATATAGACTTCTGCACCACATCAACACAAAAAGTACACAAGAAGTACACAAAAACCATAACACATTTTCACTAAATTATACACTTTTAGTTTGTGTTTAGTCAACAATTTATAAATTTTTTGTTGTTGTTATTTGTTCATTCAAATAGAAACTTTTTGATTTAAGTTCACATTAAATTTTTTTTTATTTTTAAATTTTTTTTTGTTTTGTTTTTAATATTTTGAAAGCGACAAGTTAACGCTTAACACGTCTAGCAATTCCAAAAAACTCCCCATGCACTATTTTATTCTTATACCCAAACCCTCATCCTCATGTTATCATCGTCATAAATTATGTGAATTACAGCAATGGGCAGTCCATACTATAGAGACATGGATGAGCCAACAAGTCCCGCCGGGGCGGGACATCATCGGAGCCGTAGCGCAAGCAGACCACCGATGTCACACGCCATGGATTATCCAAGTAATTAATTTGTTTATTATTATAAATATGAAATAAAAATATAATTAAATAAGTAAAAATAATAAATAATAAAATATTCAATAATAACTATAAGATTCTAAATACTTATGATTTTAGAAAAATTATAAATAAAAAAGAAATGACAACAATATGATATAAAGATAAATGATATATAAAAAAGTGATAAAAATACTAAAATTGATCATAAAAAATTTAAAGACATTTTTTTGTGATATATATTTATATATTTTTATGATATATACTATTATTATTTTATTTTTATATAAATTTTTATGCTTATAATATTTAAATAAATAATTTTTATAATATAACACTTTAACAATCATTTAGGAACACGTTATCAATCACTTGATCGAGGTGGCTTGGTTGATCCTCACGATCGCGAGTTCATACCAATACGTGAACCTCGCGATCGTTCGCGTGATAGATCACTTGAAAGAGGGTTATACTTAGAAGATGAATTGTATGGGCGTTCAGCTCGACAAAGTCCAAATCCCATAGGTAAAGAAAAATACATTGATTATATTCTTATTATTTTTTTTTTAATATCATCAAATTTGATGAAAAAGTAGTAATATCTACTTCTTCATTCTCCAAAGCATATATGATAAAATATTAAAAAAATTATTAAATATTTGAAAATAATTGATGTATAATCTTATGTAAGATGAAAATTATTAACGGAGGAGGAAGGAGTATATGTATACCAAAAATACTCCATAAAAAAATATTTGTTAAATAAATCTATTATATTTGTAAATGCGTTAAAAGCTCTCTTAACATAAATAGACACCGATGCAACTAAAAATATAGTTGAAGAACGGTTTATTTAAAAGAATATACTTTGTATGAAGAATGAAAACTAACATCCACTTATATTGCACGGTTAAGAGAAGTATTCGTATCCTTTAATGTAGCTTTCACCACACATATTTATTTTTTTTATTTAAGTACTAAATCAAAAGCCCTTACTAATCATAATATATGTATTCTCAGGTTATAATACAGGTTTACCATCGACGGATCGTGCCTATCTCGGGGATTTACAACATCAAAATACGGATTTACAACGTGAACTGGGACAACTTAAACGTGAGCTTGAATTAACAAATCAAAAACTAGGTAGTTCCATGCATAGTATTAAAACCTTCTGGTCTCCTGAACTGAAAAAGGAACGTGCTTTGCGCAAAGAGGAGAGCGCTAAATATAGTCTTATCAATGATCAGCTAAAGCTTTTGAGTACCGAAAATCAGGTGAGATTAATAAAATTAAATCTAAAATAAATTGCAATATATTTCAACACTCCTTTACTTTCTATTCCAGAAACAAGCAATGCTAGTACGTCAGTTAGAGGAAGAATTGCGTTTGCGTATGCGACAACCGAATCTAGAAATGCAACAGCAAATGGAAGCGATTTATGCTGAAAATGATCATTTACAACGTGAAATTAGCATTTTAAGGGAAACAATTAAGGACTTAGAGTGTCGTGTTGAGACACAAAAACAAACTTTAATCGCACGAGATGAAAGTATTAAGAAATTACTAGAAATGCTTCAAACAAAAGGAATGGGTAAGTAATTGCTTCTGAAAATTATCCTTATTGAATGGACTAGTTATTGTCTTATTTCTAAAGGATTTTCGATGGTCTGATAAAATATATAAGAGTTTTCTTCACTGGTAATAATCAACCTTTTATTGCATATCTTAAAGGGGTGAAAATTATTTTTTCCCTAGAATTTGCACACTTTTAATCTATGAAGAATGGATAACGATTACAATTATATAGGAAAAAGAAAAATATTTTTCATATGAAATCTCTCTTTCAAAAAAATAGAGTAGACTAATAATTTTAATAATAGACAGAACATCTAGATTAGATTAGATTTTTAAAGGATTACAAATTTATCACTACGTCACTGCAACCTTTGAGGGTTATTGCGACAAATCCACTTTAGTGGATTATGGCTACTACTTTTTCCATAGCCGAGTAGCAGTTAAAAATACCATTATATCCTTTGGATAGATGTTGCCTAATACCGTTATAAGTGGATAGGCAGTTGTTAAGTACCAAAGTCTGTGAGACTATCACAGTGTCTCACGCAATGTGTTCTATTGTTTTCTGTTCTTCATGATAAAGTCTGCAGCTATCGGCTCTTGTAATACCTAGATTCGATAGATGTTTTTCTACTTCGCAATGTCCAGTGAGAAGCTCTGTGACAAGTCGAATGCCTTTTCTGTTCAACATTAAAAGTTCCCTAGGTCTGGCTTTTAATCGATTCAGTATGAATTTTGCTTGCTTATCTGCAGGCAATTATATTATCCCAATCAGTCTGAGCTACTCTTTGCAACCATTCATTAATTTTAATTAAAGATAGAGCACTTAATATTATGACATATTAGGAAAATTATAAATAAAAAATGGATTTAATTTTGAGTATCATATTTATTGTAACTTTAATACTCGTTGTCATAAACTTTCAAATCTAATAACTAAGCATGTCATTCCAGACATTTTAGTGTTTTATCGTATTGAAAAATTTACTCAGTTTAATGAGTTATTTTATTCTTCATAATAAATTTTGGAATTTATTACTTGATTAATTCAACAATATTTTATATGTTTTAATTAAGAGTATATAGAGTATATTATGGACACCATTCACCAACAATTTTCTGTTGTTAAGAAAGTCTTTTTGAAACAATGTTTTATTATTTAGTTCGGTCAATATTCTAAGGCAAACACCATCGTCTAATACATAAGTATTAGACGTTTGAATTATTCATAATTATTATCATAAATATAATACTACTTCTACATAAGTAGAATAAATTTGTACATATTCTATTTCATTTGACTAGTAGTATTATATTTTATTTAACGTTCACTATGCAGAAGTTTGGGATCACTTATTAGTTACTACTTTTATGTATTAGTATTACTGGAAACTTTATTATATGTATAAGAGTATAAATTATAGTTCATTTCGAAATTTTGATTGTAAAAAACTGGAGTAGAGAACGCAACTCCTTCTTTTAAGACTATATATTTCGTATTATCAGTTATTCAAGCTATAAAATGTATATTGTAAGTAAAGTTGTTATACAGAAAATGATCTTTAATTTTTTTTCAATTAATAGTAGTCATCTTCTTCAGAAAACAAAGGTAACAATACAATTTTGTTTTTCTAAATTAACAATTTGGACTAAGTCGCAAAAAAAACTAAGTGATTATATATGAAATAATAGATAATAAATAGATGAATAGATAAAAGTTAATAGTTTTGTAAACAATCAGTACAAATTTATAAAGCTAAATTAAAGTATCTGTACTAGTACTTCAAATTCGAAAGGTGCAACATTTATTGATCCGATACATTAAGAAGTCAGATCCATAACATTATACATTAGTCAATCCGAAAGTTATTAGGCAAGCTACTCTCTACGCTCGGTATCTCTCGTGAGGTGTTTCGTCCTGATTTTTAGCTATTTACAGAAGTTTTCGGTGACAAAATGGTTGGGTAACATTTAGAATAAATCGTTCAATAATTCTCTGAAGTAAAAACAACACGAATTTTCTTAGAGAAAGAACGAAACTGAAATAAATTTAAACATGATGAACGTTCAAATGAAACCAGTCTAATTTTTATATATAAAACATTTTATTATAAAACTCTTAATTGTCTTACAAATCTATGTTTTTGTAGGTGATTTCAATTTTCCGTTGTAAACTGTTTACATACATAATGTCATGTATTTCTCTGACATACTTAAAAATGAATTGAAGATTCTATACCATATAAATATTATAAAGTAACTTAATAAAATGAATTAAACTGAAACCATATAGATCTGGTTGTTTAAATTAAAAAAATAGTTGTATTTAGATGTGTTCCTATATAATAATCAGTTGACTATATCCCATAGCTAAAATAAGAATTGAATAGAATAAATTGAATAAAGTCAGGTAAATTTTTTTTATCTAATATTAATTAATTTTATTTAAAATTATATATAAAAATATTTATTTGAAAATAGGTTTGGGAATCTTGTTGGCATTGTATTATATCTTTAATAAATTACATGCAAATCTATTTATATCTGAATAAAGCTGGTATTCACACAAAACCAAATTCCTTAAAACCAAATTTCAGATTTTCTCTGTAGTTCTCTGTAGTCTTTCTAAACACATTTATTTCCTTCACGTTTTTCCCAACCTTAGCAATCGACAAGAGATTTGGAATACCTTTTTTTCACTAGCACTGGCATTTCAAACCTATTTTTCGCTACAACATTGTGTGCCATTCTCATAAGATGGTCAATCGAGTGAAACCATTAGCATTTACTTCTCTCATATATGTAGTTCGTGGTTCATTCTGATGCGATAGTGTTTGTCAACTACTCTGTGTAGTGCTTGGATGACTGTGTGTCATCCATACTTCTGAACCATATTGAAGCATAGGTAAAATGAATGACTTGCAATATGTTTCTTAATTAAAATAAGAATTTGTTATTAGTTAATGCACTTGGCTTAAGTAAGTTTAAATACCGAATCTGTGGCAGACTTCATGTAAAAATCCGGGACGTCTTTTATATTTTTTTAAGGCTTTTGTTATTAAATATCTCTCTTTTTCGTAATTAGATATAATACATAGTAAACTTTGTTATGATATCTACATTTCTAAAACAAGCTTTACCTTTACCACTCTAAACAAATTATCTTCTTTCATAATTTTTTAAACAACCAATTTCGATTTCAGATAGTTTTACAGGATTCTCGCAGAAGAGTTCTCAAGAATTGTAATACGGCTTGCTAAAGCTTATCATCTCCACAATAAGTGGAAGTGTAACAATTCTTTCTACAACTTTAGGCAGTTGTCATTTGACAATAACTATCAAATGAATGTATATTAGGCACTGCGGTGTTATGAGTAGAGTGATTTTACAGAAATCCGTTTTCGTTAAGTCAATTAGTTTACTTACAGTGGGCAAGGTAATAACCCGTATTTGCACGATTCATTTTATTTGAAAATTCTTACTAAACACCCAAAATCTATTTCTAATACATCTTCGGGATTTTTATAAAAATTTTATCAGAATCTAGCTAAGATAGAGCATTTGCATTATTAGAGCTTGATAATATTTCTTCTTCTATTTGTATAGACGTCGAGAAACTATTTCTCAAACAGTGTAACCCGGCTTCCGGCTAAATAAGGATATCTGCACAGTCCTCCTCTAAATTTTGATAGCTTTTTTTAGCATAGACTACAAAGTTCAAATATTAGAATTCTTAATTACAGTAGCGCCCTATTTATTTGACAATACCCGGTTGCAAAGGAGAAGCTTATCTCGAGTGTAGTTCTACTTCAATCAATTCAGTAATAAACAAATTTCTATAATTTGATGGATTCATAGGTTCCCTGTTAAAGTTTAAACGTTAGTAGGTTAATTATTATTAATTATATTATTTTTTAATGTTTTTACCGAAATCCATACTCTTGGCACAAGTAATTTCATTGCTGTTTTATGCTTTTTTTAGGTAAATTTACCTAAGAATAAGATTGTTCAATTCTATTTTATTCTAACTTAAGAGCAGGATTGTTCGATTCTATTTTATACTTACTTAAAAGCAGGATTGTTCACTTTCGTAATTACCTAAGAACAGGACTGTTAAATTCAATTTTATAATAATTAAATTACTGTGTAGTATTTTTGATTTCTCCCTTAACATTTCTAAATAAAATTCTAAAATTACTGAACTCTTATTGGCTATTTTAAATTGCTTTTGTACTTAAACTCATATCCATAATTAACCTAAAAGCCATTATTAATTTTTTTTTTTTTATTTATTTTTTTATATATTTTGCAATAATTTAAAAATGTAGGCAAAGAGGAAGAGCGTCAAATGTTTCAACAAATGCAGGCAATGGCACAAAAACAGGTAAGTTTCCAAGCAATTAAATAATGAGAAAATTTCTATTATATTTTTTATATAAAAAATATGAAAAAAAAATAACACAAATGAAAGAGTGCAGAAAAGATATATATAAAAAAAGAAAATATGCACTCCAGTATATAAAAAAGAAACCTACACTTTTAGCAAAACCTTAACTAAACTAACCAAACTAAAAAAAGTATCTATAAAATTTAATAAATGCAATATGAAGACAGCAAAAATGTCTCAGTTGAAACCTTTTGCTTATGCTAAACTCAACTATAATTTATTTTAATTAAATTTTTTAATTACTTTTGTTTGTTGTTTTCTTGTTCTGTTGTTCTATATACTTAAATTTATTATTGTACAATATTTACTCGTATTTTTCTCTAAGTGAACTCTATAACTCTATAACTAACATTAAAATTTACGAAGTGCAAAAGAAAATTCTAGAAACTTTTGTATTACGGAAGTTCTTGTAAAATATAAGAATTTATACACATTTTGTTATGTTTTAAATGCTCCTAATTAATTGTTTTAATTGTTCTTAACTTAGCCTAATTAACTAACTGCATAATTCTAAAGTTCCTTTTCATTTTGTATGAAATTTTTGACTTTGTATGATTTTTTTTTTTTTTCTTTATAAACTAGTTTGGATTATGAAATAATTTTAGTGCAGCTTTTGATGAAACTTTAGTAAAATTAATTTAAAAAAAAACAAAATATATATTTAAAAAAAATTCATACCCAATTATAAAGTATAAACATTTAATTTCATACTCACAAAATACCACAAAATGAAGTAGGAATTAATTAAGCTACGGAAAATGTATTTTAAGTCATTATTAGTTTTGTTTTTAAAACAAAATTTTATATGAATTTTTAGCTGATTGCATTCACTTAATATTCCAGATATTTATTTTTTATTTTTCCTTTCAGTTTACTATTTTTCCTTCAATTTATTTTTATTTTTATTTTTTTTATTTTTTATTTATTTTTTTTTTATTTCAGTTAAAATCTCATGCGCAATATTATTAAACTTTGGTTGTATTTTTAGTCCTTGGAACATAGAAACTCGAATGAACACTGTTCCAATTTAATAAAAAAAAAATATCTAAAAAAAACAGAAAAACATAAAAACCATTTAACACAAAAGACACAGTAACATCACACGAACTACACAAAAATCACATAAAACACATAAAACACACTACACAGCGAAATGTTTAAAATTGTATATAAGTATGTGTGTATGTATGCGTTTGTAAGCATGTGTATATCCGAAATCGTATATGAGTTTTAAGTATTTTTGTTAGATTACTTGCAAACGCACAGTGGGACATTTTATTAAATTTTTTTATTTATTTTAATGTTTCATGTTGCGAAAATTTGTACAAAATTTACTGGATTAACAATAATAATGTAAAAAATTATTTTAAGTGGAAAATTTTAAGAAAATTATTTTTACTAAAAACTTGTAAAATTTAATTGTTATACTGTGCATTGATACAATCTGTGTAAATAAGTTTTTCAGATACGGTGTCTAATAGAAAAATTTTAAGTACTTACTATTAACGTCTTGATTTTTCTGTATATTATTATTTTACATATTTATTACACCATGTATATATATATTTACTATTTACTAAATATATATTTAACAGTAAACATGTATATATTTGAATGCTATTAAATATATACTGATATCTCTGATCGACTATCCAGGGAAATCTCCAATTATTATTGAAATATTTTTTCTTCAAAAAGATTTAATTTATTTTTATTATTATGTGAAAACTATTATTGCAAGTCATCATCATTTCTTAAATTAAATCTGTCAGTGAAAAAGTTCTTATTACTTAGTGGGCTAATAATATATTCATAACACAAATAGTTACATTGCAAACTAATAATTAGTTTGTAAAATCTCAATTTTTAAATATATATATATATATAAATTATATATATATATATACATATATGATAAATACGACAAATCAGTTGAATGTTATTTTACATAACATAGTACGTTGACTATTATTTCTATTTTTTACAAATCATAAACCCTTTTCCTATAATAACATTTTAGATATATCGCATTCTAATATTTGAAAGACAACTATTTAAGTTACTCACGATGGAATTTTTAGTTCTAATTAATTCATTTCTTCTAAGGATATTTTTCTATAGTTCATTATTTTTTTCTACTAATATTTCCAGCCATATTTATAAAATAAGTTAATTTATTTCATTAGGCGGATTTGTATTTCACACATGCTGTGAATTACTGATTTAGATATTTTCTTGAAATCATCAAATCTTGATTGTGCTCTAATATGGCACTATTTTTTTTATATGATTTTATTGCTTTAAAACAGATTGTAAAATGAATGCATTATTGAAAAACTTCAGTTTGTCGTTAATATAATCTTTCATTATATACATAAGATTTTTTTTATTAAATTGGCATATTTGTCATATTATAGATGCCATATTTTATAAACAGTAAATTATAAATAAATATTATTATATTGTATAACAATATTTTTAAAAATAAAGGTGCTCACAAGGTACGTTACTGTCTTTTGAATTTCATTAAGGCTTTCTTCTTTTCTAGTTATTCATTATTGAATTCTTTTTTAATGCATATATATATATATATATATGTACCCATTAACTTTTTAGTACCGTTTAGCAACTGTTCCGTCATCCAGTCCTATACTAACTTTCATTATTGCTTTCATAAAGTGAGTATTTGTCTCAAACTTTTATGTCGTTGAGATATAAAATCAATACTTATTCCCCTCCATTTTGACATGTTCTCCTCTTATTTTTGGTTAAAATTGTAAAAACCAACATATTCGATTGAATGAATATGATAATTCTCTTATATATGGAAATAATGATGAAAGTGTTAACTTCCAGGTAATTAATTCTAATTTTTGCTACTGCTAATCTTAACAGTGGCTTCAATGAACCACTATTGCACCTTTTAAATACTATAATTAAACTATTTCGTATTTTTTAAAAATATATCAGTAATATATTTTATATTAAATGTGATATGGATTAAGGTAGATTAGAAATACAATAAATAAAAACAAATCTTCTTGTCTTCCAAATGTATATATATGTTCATTTTTTAGCCACACAAAATTTATAAGCTTTTAGCTGATTTTTGTATGGATCTGGTAGAATTATATTTTCATTCAATATGAAGAGTATAGCTTAGTTTATAAACTTTTCAGATTTGTTACCTTCAACTTGAAAGATGAAATTACGTTTTTTAAACATATATTTTCCCCAAACTGATTATTAATTGAGTTCACATAAGTTTTGATGCATAAGGGTGTCACTCCGACCTTATCCAACCGAAGGCTATTTGTCTGCTTATTTATATAATTGATTTCATAGTTTTTTTAATACATATATTTCAGTATATATTATTATTCATTTCAATTCCAACAGATGCCATTTTTTAAGCAAGACACTAAATAGTTTTTTAGTTATAATAGTTAAAGAGACTAAAATTTATTTTCTATATTCATTATAAAATATTTTTGAAAGTATTATTAAGTGTACCTAGTTTTTTAATTCATTAAAGATTTAATCTCAATTTTAATTTACAATATTGATTAAAATAATTTACTTGACAAATAGTTCCAATAATTATTAGGTTCTTGAAAAAATTCGATTTAGCTTGAAAGTCATCTTACTGGTATTATTGAATACTGAATTCGCTATTACCTATAAAATTTGATATATTTTGCATGTAATATTGATACAAACAAAATCTAAAATATTTTTTAGTGTAGTGCAGAACCATTCTAATCGGACACTAATAGGGTTGTAGTTGGAGTCTGTCAACTCTGTCATGAGGAGAAAAAATAATCAGAACAGGTTCTACGGCAAGACGTAGACTTGTCTATCTTAGAAGTGGGATCTGAGTCTTAAATCTAAAAGGTAAAATGAAGCTCACAGCACTTACGAGATTTATAAATAACCTAGAATGGTTTTCGTTGGGCTTTTAGGCACACATTAGATCATTTAGGTCGGGGTGCACTCAAAACCTATTATTTAATAATAGCAGCATCAAAAGCGTAACCATTTGACCCAAAATTTTCAATTACATTGCGACTAGTGAGCAATGTTGATTATAAAATTCAGGTTATATGTGAAACGCAGTCCAAATAACTTTATTATTTTTGTCATCAATTTTAGTAATTATATATATTGTATTATTTGTTTTTTTCTATGATAAACATAATTAAAACATGAACACAATGATGAACAAACATAATTTTATTGCCAATTATAATTAAAAACAAATGTCAATTTTGGGAGAGAATCTGTAATAAAAAATGGTCGGAATGACGTTCAAAAAGTATGTAGTACTCGTATTAATTCAAGATCTTTGTGGTGGTATGGTCATCCTTTTAAAATATTTAATTAAAAAAACTTGTAAAATATTCTGTACTATAAGTGTCTGTTTTGAGTCCTCTCTTCACTTTCACTGCTTAATATATAAGCAATTTCTATATATAGCTGAAACATGTAAACAAATATAAGTTATTATCTAGTCTAATAAACTCTTATATATATACGAGTATATACCATTTAATAACTTTCAGATTATGTGAAAATAACTACACATTCTATTCTATTATTTCATTATCCCTTACTTTCATTATTCATGTTCAAATTTATAACCAATATTGTTGAAATACAATCTTAATATACATATGTATTTCATGATGCCAGTAGAATTTCATACATATATTGTATATAAATATATTGTAATAAATCCAGCTAAGATGCTAAATATAAAACAATATATATTTCATATTGTTCAGCCACTATACCAGGAAAAAAGAGGAAAAGAGGAAAAGAGGAAAGCATTATTTTTAACATACAAATGTATAAACTTTTGTTCATAGTGTTATGTTTTATTAAAGTCAAAGACTTCTAATCGATTTTAAAAGAAAGAAAATACAATAAAGGGTTCT